AGAAAACATTATAGAGTACTTCTTTAGAGATGGCCTCACTTCACTTTTCACAACATTTTGCTAAACAATTTGGATATTATTTCCTTCCTTCTAAGGATAAAGATAATAGATCAAGACTCCTTTAGGTGTCACAGTTAGTACGGGGCCAGGTGGGGATTTGGTCTCTAGTCTTAATACATGCCAGAAATAGTGCTCACCTCCTCTGTCACAGGAGTTTATACTCATGGCCAAATTCACTTTTCAAAATTCTAATTCAAATATTTTATGAAAGAATCACTTCAATTTAAGCATTTGATAAGCACCTAGGCTAGAAGTGTGTATAGGAGTATTCTGCCTAAAAGAGGCTCAGGAAAGATCTGTTGGAGCCACAGGAAACTAGGAAATTGATCAGATGTGTGTAGGTGGGACTGGGCCTCAGTGCCTAAAATATACAAGCTACCTCAGTCCTGAGAAAAACATCCTGTTTGGTTTGGGCCAGGTATTAGTCCCTAGACAACCTCGTGACATGTGTTACAAACTTTGCAAAAGTATAAACAAAGGATCGTTTTCTGTGAGTTGAGTTAGTCTTGCTCATCAGGCAGACTAGTAACCACCTAGCCCAACATCTATCTTTCTCATTCCTGCCATCATATCTCCCTGGGTAGAACCATTCACAGTAAGACCAACAGATCCCTACATTTGACACCCAAAAAGGATGCCTGGTATGAGATAAGGGTGGGTAGAGGAACCACTGGCAAAGAGCGTGCATAAAGGAGGGAAGTGGATTGGTTAGAGCCAGCAGTAGTTCGCATTGGTGTGCATTGGTGCTGGTGCACTAGGTGTAAAACTTGGGAATGAAACTCACTAGGACCAGTAGTGGGCTCACTAGGGCCAGAGAAATATGGGAGCACAAAGAGAAAAAGAGGCTTGAGAGAAGCCTAACAGGGATTTAATTGCATTAACAATAGGAAAGACAGTTTTAAGACCCATAGATGTTGATGGATATATATAGATAGATGTATATAAAAATGTTTGGGTTTTTTTGGTTTTTGTATTTGTGTTACTTTCTAAGACCACCATAAAGGACTTAGTGTGGAGTACTGTTTTAAAGCCAAGTCTCAAATGGGACATGGAGAGTAAACAAAGGTACAGCAGATACAGTTTAAACCCTCTAGTTTTACCCAATTAGGTAAGAAAGGAAAAAGTTCTTTTAAATCGTGAGCTGTTGGTTCCAAACAGCACAACACTGTTGGGGGGGGGGCCACAAACTGGGCTCTGGGAGGCTTCTGTGCTCTGGTCTTAGGCAGATCCAGCAGAGATTCCCCAGCCACCTGCCCACGTTTGCCTCATTCAGCCACAGAGGTTGGTGCATATCACCAACTATACTCCTGTGTGCCAGGTGCTATGTAGGGGAGTCATGTCTATGGTACCCTGTAGCCTTGGCACTGGCTATGCACATTGCTGACATTGCAAATTTGTTAGGCTCAAGATAGTGTCTATGGTTTAAAATCTGGGAAAACTAAAACACCCAATGGGCTTTACGGAGCCACAAGTCACAATCCTGACCAAGGCAGCTCAGGAAAATTTCACCAAGTCACGATCAAAACAAGCTGTCGGTCTTCCTGAATGGTACCTTGTAAAACCTTAATTACCACAAGCTGTTGCTACTTATGGCCCTACTGCTCCCTTCACCTTGAGATTAGGAGACATACTGCAACAACAGACTATGGCCCCAGATGAGTGGAAAAGAATAGCTAAAACGTTTGAATCCAGGAGACTATTGTAGAAAGAAAATGTCTTTAAATATAGCAGGAAATAGGCAAGAAATGTGTTTTACAAATTAGCCATTAGAAAATATTTGCTAATTGGAAGGGATGCTTTTGCTAGCACAATCAACTGACCTTTACATTGCAACTATGTAACAAACTAAGAGATCTACATTTAGGGTCTGGAGGGAACTGGCTTGTAAAAGAAAAACATTCCTTAACTTGGCTTCTATTAGGCAAGGCCCTAATGAACCTTTCCAAGATTTTGCTGCAGGTTTGTCACAAGCTACTGAAAAGATTGTCAGTAATAGGAAAGCTAGCAAATTGATAGTTCAACAATTGGCCTTCAAAAATGAATTAAATGGTACAAAGAAGCTTTAAGAAACCATAAACAACAGCCTATACTGCCTGAAATGATTCAGATTTGTGCAGATATTGGATCCTCATGTGTACAGGGAGCTGCTTGGGCAGCAGTTATTACTCAGGTTATTCATCTACAGTCTTAAAAAGAAAAGGGGGAGTGAAAGTATAGTCATTTGCTTCAGTTGTGGGGATGAGGGATATTTAGACCAAAACTGTTCTGCTGCACCAAAGACAACACAGCCTTTATCTGTCTCTTCAATAAAACCTTCCAGTCCACATACTAGATGTAGACCAGGGTACCACTGGGCAAGTGACCGTAAACCTAAAACTGAGGAGGAAGGCCGACCCATTTGGGAAAACCTCCAGTGGGGCCTCCTTAGGCTGAGCAAACAATGGGGATGCTTTCTCCTTCCTCACCACAAGCAATAGAGGCAGCTTAGGTCTCAGTTTCTCCTGCAGACTCCTACTGACTCCTGACATGGGGCCCCATCTTATTCCTACTAGAGTCTACGTACCTGTGCCTCAGGGTGCAATGGGAAACTTGCGAGGCCTTAGCAGTCTCATTTTAAAAGTTCACCAGGTTTTTCCTGGTGAAACTGATGCTGATTATAACAGAGATCACAGTTATTACTTAATCTACCCAAACTATTGCTAACATCATTTCAGGTTCTCGCATTGCTCAATTGATCATTTTTTCCTTGGAAAATTTAAAAGAAATTCAAGGGGTTTTGGGTCTCCTAATGTTTATTGTGTTCAGCAGATTAAACAAAATTGCTCAGAGATGGAGTTAACTACTGAAAGAAAAACATTTAAAGGGTTATAGGGTGTAGATGTTTCAGTTATTGCTCAGCATCACTGACCTGCATCACCTCTGGATGTGGCCACTACAGATTTACTAGGGGTGGGCAAGGTTTCTTCCTCTAGCAGAAGTGCTAAGTTGCTAATTTGGAGGGATGCACAAGGCCATTCTAGATATTGTCCTTCTTATGTCCTCCCCAATATACTGGTCAATCTTATCATGACATATTACAGGGTATGGGAACATTTTTGGCCAGTCCTAACTCCCTGGTTGCTCATTAGATTTACAGCAAGGTTTCTGTCTCAATCAAGTGCTTGATAAAAATACTCAAGGGAGAAAAGAACCTCTTTTGA